GCATGCCCATGAGGGAGGTGGATGAGCAAATGTTCAACATTCAAAATAACAGCAGCTACTTCACTGACTGGCTCCCCAACAACGTCAAAACAGTCGTCTGTGACATCCCACCCCGGGGGCTAGAAATGTCAGCCACCCTCATTGGGAACAACACGGCCATCCAGGAGCTCTTCAAGCGTGTCTCAGAGCAGTTTACAGCAATGTTCCGGCGCAAGGCCTTCCTCCATTGTTATACCGGCGAGGGGGTGGATGAGATGGAATTTACGGAGGCGGAGAGCAACATGAACGACCTGGTTTCTGAGTATCAACAGTATCAGGATGCCACAGCTGAGGAGAAGGAGGAGGAGGCCTAGAACTTTCCTTTTCTAGGTAAAGGGGGAAAGCAGTGTGGATTCTTTACTGTGTTCTGACTGCCATGTGTCACTACGCACTTGTTCATTTGTGTCTTCACCTCTCCTCCTGCTGCACTTTAAAGCATTTTTATAGTATACGATTTTGCCTAATAAAGTATTCTCATAGCATCTGGCTTCACCTCCAACTTTTCTATGGGCCCCCCTCCGGCTAAGGCTGCCAGATGCGCATGGTTGTCCTGCAAGGCTGAAGCTGTCTGCGTTTGTCACGTGCCCAGGAACAAGCATTCCAGTGGCTCCAGGAGGGGTCGGCATGGGCTGTGGACATGGCAGGAAGGCTTCACATGAACCTGGGGATGCCCTGGGCCTTGGGTGGCTGCGTGGTGGAAAACCTGTTCTGAAGGCAAGCCTTGGCTTATCCCATGTTCCAGACTTCTAGGGGACCAGCTGGCCCTCTGTTTCTGGAACCCTAAAAGTGGTCAGTGATCCTGGTGGGCAATGTCCCCAAAGTCCCCTTTCAGGGTAGGAATGTGGTCAGACAGCTGGCTCTGAACCAGCAATGAAGGGTGGGCAAGTAGGACCCCAGCCACTCCATCACCATGACGGCCTGGGTGTGTTTGTGTGACCTTTCTCTTGAGGTGGGCATGGGATATCTGGCAAGGACTAGTGGGCAGAAATCAAACCCAGCATATACTCACATGCACTGACCCCTATGTAGAAGGGGATTAGGTCCTGGGGGCCATAGATGGTGGTTGCTGGGCCTGTGTGCTCGAGGCAGTCTCTCCAGAGGCACAGACGGGGTTTCTGAACAGGACCTGGGGGGATGGGCAGGTGCTCACAAATGCTGCTTCCCCCAGCTGGCAGCCAGTGAGAGAAACGCTCGAGTGGAGGTCGGACCTGCCCAGTCTGGAGGGCTGGTGCTCTCTGGAAAGGTGGCTAATGCGTACTGTCTGTGTCTCCCTGTCCCCCTCTCCAAAACTTCAGGGCAAAAATAACCCAAGATTGTCAGGATGAGACTGATGAGGGTGGCACCTTTAGGGATAGGCCCTTTAGCCTGCAGAGTCTCCTCCCCAGGCTTCTCAGGGAGTCCGGACTTCAAAGCCTGCTTTGGGGAAGCTGTCAAATAAGAGATGTATGTGTGAGCTGGGTGCCAGGCAGCATGCATGGACGGTGCTCTTCTACCTGGCTCTTGTAGAACTTGTCCACGGCCTGTGTGATGGTCTCTTGGTAATTCCCACCCCCATCACACGGATAAGATGAAGCCAGCATAGCCTGGGGGTGGGCAGATGTACAGGTTCTACCCCAGGTCCCCTGGACATACCCACCTGCCTCCGACGTGTCGGGGAAACAGGTGAGGCCCCTTTTTGTTCTCTGAATGTTGGCAATGGTCTATTGCAGCCAAATGGGAATGAGGAGAGTGCCTCATCTCGAAAGAAGTGGCTCCTGGAAG